TCTCTCTGCCCCTCCCCTGCTTGTGCTCTGTCTCTCAATAATAAGTAAACGTTAAAAAAATTTTTTAAAAAAGAAGGTAGGGTACACTCAACGGATGAACACGTGAATGAGTAAATCCGTTAATAGAAAGATTCTCGTACATTACTGTTGCCCCTGCCCCCTACTCCGCCACGCCCCAGTGCCTGGCACATGAGTATAGATGTTGTTCAATGAGTGGAAAACCCATCTACCAGTCTGCTCTTTGCACTTGGCCTCCAAAACCACCACACCCGTTCTGATATAGCCTGGATCACTCACGTTCCAGCTGCAACCTTGACCTCAAATCTGTCCATCTACCCTCACCTGCGTGGCTCTAGGAACAAAATCTGGGTCTTCGCCCTGTTTGCACCTGCTCCCTGCAGCTCCCAGCTCCCAGCGCTGTTCAGGCCATTCCTGTGAGCCAGAGCCTCAGGTGGACCCAACGGGCCGGAACCAAGAAAGCCCGGGTGAGGATACCCAGGAATCAGTGAGGAGGCCAGCCCTGCGGTGTGCTGGCCCTGGAAGGGTAGGTCACTAAGGCTCTACCGATGGGAGCCTGAGCTGGAGTCTAAGTCCACGGGGTTGTTGGAGGCACCGAGCTGCCACGAAGGGACTTTTCCCAGGCCGGCATGTTTTGCACACCCATTCAAGAACCAAGAGGATGAGCCTGACTGCCTAACACCCACCCGCACAGCGGCCAAGGGCCACGACTGGCCCACGTTAGCGCTGGGCACTTGGCTTAACTGAATGGCCAATTAAGAAGCTGCGTCTGACTGGCTCTCAGGAAGTAGGGCGCCGGGCCGCGTAGCACCCTTGCCCTTGAAGTGAACTTCATGACTCCTGAGAGGTTTTGGTGGTCTGGTTTTTCATGGCTAACGGTGCCGTGTATTCTCGGCTCACTAAGCGCCCCACACCGTGCATGTCTCGTCTCTTTTCTCTGACCCAGTGGCCCCACGAGACGGGTACGATCATTGTGCTGTGTAGACCCCGGGTGCTCTGCCGTCGATTCAGGGGCTAAGGGCAGTGGAAGGTTGGAGGCCAATGACACGGCCACTGGATCAAAGCACCTTCTTGGGAATCCAGACTGGGGTTGAAGCCAGCCTCTGTCTGGCTGGTCCCCTGAATGGACCAGGGGTATGGAAGCCATTTGCTGCCACGCAGACTGGAGGGCAAAAAGAACAGTCAGGAGAAAGAGAGAGTGGGGCAAAGTGTGCAAAGGACGGTTCTGTTCTGGCTTTTTCCTCAGGCTCTGCTACACCCTGGCCTTTGGATTCGGTGGACCTCTGCCTTTCTCTTAAAGGCAATTTTTCTTAGCTCTCACGCTCTCATGGGTTTCCGTTGGCTACAGTTAAAAGCATCCTCACTCATTTCTTCAACAAGCAAACTACAAAGAAGAGATGAGGGAACACCTATGGATCAAGAAAGGCTTAAAGGCTTAAGAGACACCAGCCAAATGCAACGTTTGGCCCCTTATGTGGATCCCGATTCAAACAAACATTTAAAAACAAAACAAAATAATTGTGTTTTCAAAGTTCAAAAACATAACTAAAATAAATTCCTGGAAAAACACAGAATGTCAAAATGAGGGCAAGAAGAAATAGGGAATTTACATAAATCAACAGATGCTGAAACAACAACCACAACAAAGAGTCTTTGCTGTGAACATCCCTGATTCCCATTTGACAGATGCACGAACCAAGGCAGAGACAGGTTGGGTCACCCCATCTGGTAAAAAAAAAAAAAAAAATGGAGCCAGGTTTCACACCCAGGCCTGGCCCCAAAGCCTGTGGTCCTAACTATGACACTGCCTCCTGACCTTGCCCATGACCGACTCAGACTTCCCAGTAAACCGGGACAGAAATCATTAACAAAACTATTCCAAGTCCTTGCAATTTAGGTCACCGCCTCCTGCCACACTGCCCGCCACCTTGGCGGGTCCCTCTGCGGATGGATGCGTATTTGCGGGGGGGCGGGGGGTTGCTATGAGCAAGTTCACATATTTTACTCAGTTCTTCCACACAGAACCACAACCTGGGCAAGAGAAGAACCCTATCTCAAATTTTTTAAACACGTTTGTTTTCGAGAGAGAGAGAGAGAGAGAGAGGGAGGGAGAGAGAGCATGAGTGTGAGTGGGGGAAGGACGGAGAGAGAGGGAGACACAGAACCCGAAGCAGGCTCCAGGCTCCGAGCTGTCAGCACAGAGCCCGATGCGGGGCTCGAACTCACAAACTGTGAGATCATGACCTGAGCTGAAGTCAGACACTTCACCGACTGAGCCACCCAGGCGCCCCAAACCCTATCTTAAAAGTCTAAGAGCTGTAAAAGGGCTTCCCGACGGGAACGGGCCAGAAGGTGGGGAGAGCTGGTGGAGAAGGCCACAGCTTTCATTATAAGCTCATCTGTATATTTCAGCTTTTTAACCACATGCCTCCGTCTGGTGGAAATTTTAAGTTTGGGGCGCCTGGGTGGCTTAGTCAGTTAAGCATCTATCTGACTCTCGATTTCGGCTCAAGTCATGAAGTCACAGTCCCTGCTTGGGATTCTTCTCTCCCTCTCTCTGCCCCTCCCCTGCTCTCTCTCTCTCGCGCACGCGCTCTCTCTTTCTCTCTGAGAATAAATAAAACACAATAAAAAAGAATACAGAAATGTTATGTTTTACTTAAAAAAAACTGCTATGTACTCAACTCCGTGCGTAGCACGACGTCCTATTCTTCTGTTCTCAATACCACCGGGGTGAAACGTTTACGAATGTGATATTCGACAGAAGGATTTTCTGTTCATAACATAAATACCCGTAACAGACAAAAACCGGAAAAGTCAATAACATGAATTATTCCGAGACCGCTTGTTTCCTTCCATTTTTCCTTCTACGGGGTTTTTATTTTCGCTTGCTTGCTTGAACATAATTTCGACCATATCACGCCTGCAGCGTGGTATTCTGTGCGGCCTCGCCAGTATCTCTTCTCACCTTCCCTGAATGGTACTCACTGTTGCTGCTATTATTTATCCCGCTCCTTCTCTCCATCACTGTCCACTGGCTGCGTTAGGGGAAGCAGGCCGATAACCTGTCTTTTCGCTTACAGGCACAAGGAACCAGATGCGTTCAAACCTGGCGTGGAAATTGCCACAGCTCTTCCCGAGCCTGGATCTTGACCCCTGACTGCAACAGCAGGATGAAACTTTGTGGCTCTCCCCTTGGAGGAAGGTGAATGAGTTCTGACGGGGCGAGAAGCTGTGTACGGATGGTGGGCAGCTTAGGGAGGGCTACAGCAAACACTATTAGGTGCCTCCCCAATAACCATTTTCCTCTTCTCAACCAACAGGATCCTAACTCTGAGCCAGCAGTCTGCCTAGTTTAAAAAAATTTTGTTAACATTTTATTTTATTTTTTGAGAGACAGAGAGGGACAGAGCATGAGCAGGGGAGGGCCAGAGAGAGAGGGAGACACAGAATCCGAAGCAGGCTCCGGGCTCCGAGCCGTCAGCACAGAGCCCGACGAGGGGCTCGAACCCACGAACCTGAGCCGAAGCCGGACGCTCAACCGACTGAGCCGCCCAGGCACCTGTCCCTGCCTAGTTTTAAAATGATCATTTCCCCACCTCCCTGGTCAGGGGTCGTCCTGGGACAAGGCCTGGCCAACAAAGCGGAAGTGGAGGTTAGGCTGGGGTTTCCAGGAGTGCCCGACAGAAGGTCAGCGGAGGACACTGGAGTGTGCCCTCTTTGCCTCTTTCCTAACCCTCTGGCTTCCCGTCACGGAGCCACGGAGCTAGAAACACAAGAGCCAGAGCTCTTGGTGAAGCAGCGGCCAGACGTGGACCTGCTGGGTGGTAGGCTGGTGTCTCTGGGCTTCCTCTTGCACGAGATAGACAGATCCTCTTGGATGAAGTCCCCGCACGTTGGGTTTTTGCCACTTGCGGCCCAACACGGCCCGAACTGGCGCAATACGCGTTCTCTCGCTTTCGGGAGCCCGTCGGAAACCCATCAGGGCTGACTCACCCGCGCCCCTCTCGTTGGCAGGGAGGCCAGTCGCACTGTCTTGGGCTGCTAAAAACTAACCCTCAGGAATAAGCACTCGTGGGCCCTTACACGCTTCTACGGGCCTGCAAAACTCTTACACACGTACCCCGTCCTCGGTGGGGAAGCCAGGGGAAGATGATTCAGGACAGAATGGCTCAGCGACCAGATGACAGGCAGTGGGTTCCCCACGATGTCTTTTCTCTCCTTGATGTCGCCCCCCCCTCCGCCCCCCGCACATCCGAGTTGTGCTCAAAAAGCCATCCAACTTCCACGCGTCCACGCGAGACACGAGAAACAGTTACAGACGGTGAAGAGCTGGGGACGCGTCGTCTAGGTTTGAACCCCTGCGGATTGGCCCTACGGGAGGTCGGCCCAGAAACCCGAAGCCTGTGTCTCTCCACAGGGTGCAAAGAAAGAATGAATGAATGCAAGAGCTTGAGACATAAGGAAGGATTCAAAAGGACTGTATATTGCCTCGGGCCTCTGAACAACACGGGGCAGGGTGGGGGGTGGGGTGGGGGGCCTGGACAAAAGCCTCGGAGCTGATGAGCCAATTGGTTCTGCGTGTTGAGGGGTGAGCGGGTGGAGTAGGGGGGAAATTGGGAAGGACAAGTATTAGAGAAGGTGGCAAAGACCGTGAGATCTTGAAAAGGCATTAGGCTTTTAACGACAATACAGGAAATCTGGTCGGGGGACCACCTGGAACCAAACATCACCCCCTCTAACCTCTGGGTTTCCCGCGTGCACTTTTTATTTCCCATGTGGTATACGCGCTCGGCGTCTGCACGAAGTGATCCCACGTGTGTGGGGGGAAGGGGACCGGTGGTGGGGGGGTGTTGAAGAGCCAGAGGCAACGTCCACCTTCTTGGTTCTTCGACGGTGACCACAGGACCGCCACCCGCCACCCGCCGTCTTGCATCCTGGTGCAGCTGATGTTCGTTTTGGGAACGCGATCCAGTCACCCTGGCTGGAAGATGCACCCCGTATCCTCAGGAACTGACCCCATAAAACCAGGGACTCATCTCCCAGTCGAGGGGTCTTTGCGTCTTTCAGCCGCCTCGCTTCCCTACCTGCGCCATTCCGAACGTCTTCAGTTTTACAAACACAACTGATGTGCCACAGAACGAGGAGGGCCTGGCGTCGAGATCACAAGCGTCATCTGTTCCCCTCCGTCGTGGAAACCAGAAACCTCAGTTTATTAAGGTGCATGCACTGTGCTGGGTACTCGTCAGGTGGGTGTTGTTTTCTCCATTTTGCAGAGGAGGCAACCGAGGCTTAGCCAGGTCAGGGAAGGTAGGGCTCAGGGTCACAGAGGGAGGAAGGGAAATTCTCAATGTGGGGAGCAAATTCGCTCTGATTCCACAGTGGTGGAATCGCGGAGAGTGGTTGGTGGGGCCTTCGTGGGAAAACAGCCCCTCCTCCCGCATTCAATCTTTTCTTCCAGAAGGAGCAGCTGGGGCTCCTCCGGCCTGGTGGTCTTCTGAGACACATTCCTGCACTGCCGCTGTTCTCAAAGCTGCAGGCCCTTGTTCCACACGCGGGTCCGAGGGCCCGAGCCAGGCCTGGGGTCTCTTCACGCAGAGAAGAGTTTTCTGCCCTTGGCCCCCGCAGAAGGGAAGGATTAGCGCAGCAAAGCCCAACTTGATTGAAAAATAACTTCCCTCCAGGCTGCTTTATGGCTTTGCACCTCTTCCAGCTCTCGCTGAGTCTGGCCCCAAGACTGGAGGACTCAGGGTGGTCCTTCCCTCTCCAAGGGGCCGGAAATTACCCAAGGAACGCCAGGGGGTGCTGAACAGGCCATCTGAAGGAGGCCAGCAACTTATTAATGTTTTTTAAAAGTTTTAAAACTAATAGCCAACTGGAAGGGGTCAAAGCATTCTGGCTAGTTCTGCGATGGGGGGCAAGGCGCCTCCCTCCCCTCGCTGACCCCATCTGTAGCGTGTGTGTGTGGAGGGGACTCGTCTACGGCCCCGTGCCGCTGGCGTGGAGGATGAAATGATTGCCGAAGTTCACAGAGGGCCGAGAACTGCCACATGGCAGTGACCACGGACGGTTCGGCCCCAGCCCTCCGCACTTACATTCACCACACCAGCCAAAGCCGGTTCCCGGCGGGACGCTGCTGAACAGCACAGGATTTGGCCTTGG